TATAATTACGATATTCCATAAGTGTTTTAAGTTTATGAAACCATAAGTACCTAGCTATATGTTCAAGTTACATGTTTCAGTCAGTTTCGTATTTATAATAATATGTTGTCTGTTTTTTATCATATATACAAAGCTACAAAATTGTAATTTAGTACTTCAAATTAAGTTTAAACAGGGTAACAGCGTATAAATAAACTTTATCATTTATATATACTTAATTATTATGAGAATATATTTAGGGTTAGTTTTAACTCTGATTATAACATTTTTGTGTTTTATTTAAGTACTTAATTGATTCATTTTTCCAAATTATAATAATCAATGAAGAATTAATTTTGAATGGGATCCTATGTTAAGGTTATTATAATTGTATTTTTAATTATTGATATTTTTAGTCGTTATAAATGTTTATCAGAACTAAATCATACTAAAGAAAAACTAACTAAATACGAATTATAAATTAATTATTTTTAAAATTAGTCTTATCTTATATGGGGACTATAAACTACTAATTGTTCTAACTTGTGGAAATCATGAATGGTGAAATAATACAGGATAATGTTTGCTTATGGAAATTAAACACATAATCGAATACTGGCCTAAACCCCAATCGTTTGATTGTAAGAATAAGATGAAGTCATTATCAACAGGTTGAGGTCTGAATAGAGTAACCCAAGAACTGATGTCAACTGTCCACCTTATGAGAAGAGAGGAATCAGTAATGCTCCAAACATGTGGCAAACCTTTAACAATAAAACACTTACACGTCTACTGCTTAAATCGCGCCAAACTAGAACAGACCTAAAAATCCTGGACAAAATATAATATGAAGCTCTGAACCCACAAGAAGACAACCTTAAGAGTTAAGATAATTATTTCCTTCATAAAAACAATTAATATGTACAAGTACAACTCAATTTAGACACTACACTGTATATAATATATTCTTTTGTAACATTAGGTATTGAATATTCAATCTTATAAGCTAATAACCTTAACAGTCGAAGCTGTAACAAATAAAATATATTGTAGATATTAATTAACTATAAAATAGTTCAAAGAGTTCTTTCCCAAAAAAAACAAGATATTTATCCCGATACTTTTTCAAGAAAAAGAATATATTATTATTATATGCTGTGCTATCAAAATAGAATAACCTCAATTTTTTTTCTCATTTATATAAATATAATAGTGTACCTGTTCTATGAACATTCAAACATTGTAAAATGTTTTTCACCGAACTCCCTGTGCCAGATGCAAGTTTGTTTTGATAAATTACCCATTTCTTAGTTTTAAATGTTGAGTTTTTTACTTAACTGACAGCAGAAAAACCATGTTGTTATTAATACCTGTCACCTGTCCCTTGACTATTCGGAGAAATGTTCTAAGAAATACTTTTTATTATGATCTATTCTTTTCAGTGTATTTTTCGCCTAAAGTAGGTACTGTGTTTCCACTTCCCTTAGAGGTTCTACTTCTATTGAAGTTGAATAATTGACCAAAACACTACACAACTAAAGCGTTTTTGGTAGTTTTATTTGTCTTTGGTATTTACTCTATAACTATAAGCTCTGTTGGGTTTTTTTGATTAACTGGCTCCTTCTAATTTCATACGAATTAACTGCTCAATCTATTGAAATAGTTATTCAGCATTTTACATTTTACATTCCACGAATTTAAATTTGTATTCACTTGGAATTATATCCTAATTATATGCACCTCGATACTTATTAAAGGATTTTAAGATATACAAATACGTTTTTATTGGATCCTTTCGCCTATTTAAAGTTATTATTGTTAGTATTCAAGATTCTTTACGAACACACTATTTCGTGCCATTTTTAAACATAATACCTAATTACTTAATTGTTGTATCAAAAATTAATTATTATGTTTATTCGCATAAAAATTAATACAATATTATAATGTATCATTGCATCAAATATTGTCAAACCGATGTTTGTATAGTTCTATAGTGGATTGTATATAATATATATATATATATATATATATTATATACTCTACGTTATGTACACAATATTAGGTAGGTATTTGCTAAGAAAATATTGTCGTTTAGAATCTGATAATGTTAGGTTAGGATTTGATTTTGGGACGTATTTTATGTATACAACAACTACAGACTGTTTTGAGTTGTTATACCTTATGCGTAAAGAGGTCTGTTGTCTTTAACCTAAAACAGTAACTCGTGCCCATAGTCCATTACAGTTCACAAGCCTATAAGAGAATTTGTATTTGTCCCACACTGAAATTTTAATCTATGTAGGTACCTAACAAGGATCTAAGATTTGAGTAAGAGATTACTCTCTCTTGTAGAAAATTTCCTCCAGCAATTATAGTAAACAAGTGGTGTTTTGGAAATGTTTGATTATCCTGGCTTCGTCATTTTAAGCCATCGATCGGATAATATGATGTATCTAATATTATAGAATATGTATAATATAAATTAATACAGAGAATATAATATTAACATAAACTGTGTGATCGACAAATAAATAATTTAAAAAAGCTGGTAAGTGGATGTCGCTCTGATGTACAGTAAGTTACAAGTGGGTGACTATATAATGGATTGTATTAAATTTGAATTCAATGATATAATATCATTGAATACGAAAAACGATTCTGAGCGGAGACAGTTTGTCAGTCTGGATATTTTATATTTTTATTATTTATTATAGCCTGTAAGTTGAATTAATATTATAAATTACAACAAAATAACTAAAATCGTTATAAGTACTTGGTTATTTAATATGTATTTTCGTCCAAATTTGATCTTAAAATAATATTAGAAACATAGTTATATACTTACATTAGGTATAAGTATCTATAATGCAGTTATATCATATAGCTTCATGGTACAAAAATACATTTTTAAATTCGCCCCATTTTTTATTAGTTTCTATGGTGATATACAAAACGTTGGAAATTAAAATCCCGTTTTTAGCGGTTTTTACTGTTTTTAGTACTTAATTTGTCGGTGGTTTTTCCCATGGCACTAAATACCTATTGAGAAAATCGAAAAATGACCTCTTTAAAGTACCATTTTGATCCAATTTTCTAAAAGGTAAGATACTATATGTTGAAATCGAAGCACTCCTTCTGGTAGAAATTTTATATATAGGATACAAAATAAAAACACCATTGTAAAACCACTAGCTTCCTCGCTCCGCTCAGAATCTAAAATTATGAATGTTTAAAATAATTAACTAATAATTCAATAAAAAAAAACAAATTCTTAGTATTGGAAGCTAGTAGAGAGTATATGTATATGTACAAGACGTGTTTTACATTTTGAATCAATATTACGAGCAATTAATGTCAGTTGTTACGTGTGACTATTGAAAAAACAGTAATTACAATTTTTACAGAAAAAGACAAGAATCCTGCAAACACTAAACATATAATTATTGAAGAAAGAGATAAACACTACAACTTCACTGGAATGGAAATAAACTGTCAACAGACTCAGTAGTAGAATGTGGAGATGGTTTTTGGTTACGGTTCTTAGAATTATGCAGAACATAAAGGTTTTGCTAAATAACACAGCACAAATGCAACTTGTGAAGTATATACAACGAAATAGTTGTGGAAAAGCTTCTCTGGAGAACGATAAACTGAAAAATTTTTATCATAAAGCTCGGTCGCTTGTGTAGTTGTATCATTGTAAGTAGATAAAAGTAGTCTTGGCAGCCTTTATAAATTATAAATCAATGATAAACCACAATGTTTCCTAAAAAAATCTGAAGAGAGCCTTGACGTACCACATCATAAATAATTATGATGATATGTCTGATATATAAATATATAATGCGCTTGAACATGTTCAAATCCTCAAATCCTCTCATATCCAATTTATCCTCCCTAGACCTTCCCGATACAACCCGTCGACTAAAAGAAAATGTTCCAGGGACTTATTAATCTAACTATTATTCACACATAATTTATGTAAAAAAAATGTATGTACTTTTGAACATATTTCTGTGTAATATCACTGGATATTTCCTCTAATCGTGTAATTTTTTTTTCCATGATGAAATTTACTTATAATTGCTATAAATTATGATGTACAGAATACCTTAGGGCTTCGATCATAATATACTAGGTATATGATCTAAACAGGATATGGAACGGAACCTTATCAGTTGATAACAAAAATGTCTTCAAATTTGACTCATAGTGACAGGTAATCAACGTTGGATTGTTTTTGTTCTAACTAATTTTCATGAACTAGGATGGATATACATATATATCGACCGTGATTAACCAATAGAAAACTGTGAGAGCGCCAGTGTCTAATTTGAAGTTGAGAACATTCCAATTTCAAATTAAAATTGATAGCGAAGTGCAAATAAAAACAAAAATTTAATAATAAAAACAATTATTTATATATTAAATATATCTAATTATATTTGTTAAATTGACAAACAGTAAAGGTGTTTATGAAGTTTTTTTTAGGTTATTAACTGTCCCAAGAATAGAAAGAACCAAATAATTTACATAAATATTAAGAAGTAAAATAATAACATATTTACATATTAACTATACAAAATTAAATTCTACAATAATTATAAATACTGATTATTTCTATTCACAATTCACATCCTAGTGTGATTGTAGTTGCAGTGATCGCAATAATTGGTCATTGTAGTAATTTATTACGATTATCAAATTTCATGAGTACTTGAAAATATTACAATATTAAATTATAAATTATGCAACCGCCAACCATGGTGTAATATTTTTCTTAAATTTTGATAACGTTATAACTTATAACATTCTTAGTACAAAATAAAACAAATCAATTTAATATTGAGTATTTGAGTAATTTAATGTAACTTTTTTATTACTACGTAAGAGATTGATAGGTAATTATTGGTCCTTCGGCAGATAATAATACAATTATTATAATTATATTTAAGTATTCTTTCTATTTATTTTATAATTACAAGTTCCATTAAAATATATTTTTATATTTACAGTACCTTAACGCATGATCTCTCAGCTGTCTGCTGTGTTTCAGGTCTTCTAGATCAACTCCTCTGAACGGCATAAAGGATTGTTGAACGTCTGGATGTGTCTCGAAGAGGCTGCAAATAAAATAAAGCATAATACTTAATGTCATGATTTATTTTTATTTTTAGCACTCAATAAATACATGTCGAAAATAATTGAGCTTTTACATTCATAAAATCAACATGCTTTTTTATGAAAAAGTCCTTTTAAACTGGATTAACAACATTTTAATAAACAATTAGAACCTATAATAACTTTACAATATACATATTTAAAATATAAACATTTTAATCAGAATATCAAATCCAGTTAACAATGATTGTAGTTTTTTCGGGTTGTCGGTAATAAATTGGATTTAGTTGGCAATTTAGGTGATCGTATAAAATGTCTAGTATTATACAAAATAATTGGAAGAAAACCAAAAAAAAAATAGGGAAGGTACTTTGATGCGTGTGTCAAAATATATTGATATTGCTCATATAATTTTAGGTGACCTACCTCTCATATTATTCTTATATCGAGTTATATAAAATGTCCTATTTTACACCCATCAATATCCACCCTCCAATATTTAAGGTGGTGTTTGAGCAACACTTGGACCCATTATGTTACACGCCACTGCTCTGCTGTAAGTTTATAGTTTATGTTGAGTAAACTTCTTGATTGAGTAGATAAATGTAAAATATGTGTGTTAAATTTGAATTCAATGTTAAATAATTGTATAATATGAAAAATTGTAAGACGATTTTGAGTGATCAGCCTTTTATGGAGTAAATCCATATTCTTTCAAGTTTCAAGGATATTTTATTGTCACTAATTGATTGTTAGTAATAAGTACCCAATAACTAATAAATAAATTATTAAAATAATTGCATATTTTATAACATAATAATATTATTATAATATTATTTTATACAAAATATAGCTGTTTCTAATTTATAAATTATAAGTCAATACCAACGAGCCGTGGTAGTGCGGTGTGAATAAGTTCTTGGTATAAATAGGTTAATATTTATCTAAATTTTTCAAAAAATCCATTTTGTATTGAAAATAATAATTTAAATAATAAATCAATGTTTCATGTTACCACGGTTAATATTTTTTGAATTACAACGAAATATTAAACATCGTCGTAAGAGAAATCGTGATTTTACATATATATATATATATAATAAATAATATAAATATAATATATATAATATTCAATATAGTACAATATAATACTCTTAAAAAGTGAATGTAGCATTGTGCCACATTTCTTTTGAATTGTATTAAAACAAATGTATGAGTTATGAGTAACATTGTATAAGATATTCAAGCCTTAGGTGTTAAGATTAAACATTTTATGAATTTATAACTTTAAGATTATATTTTATATATTAGTTTTATGATTTTGACGAATTTTGTTGGAATAGAAACTTTTTACCCTTACGTAGGTTATCATTATTCTTTGTATAAAATAACATTTTCAAAATATTAAGTCTAATTTTGCAGTATAATATTGTACCTACAGCATTTCAGTATTAACTTACAAGTTAAATTTAAAGTACCTCAATAATTGTGGTATAATATTATTATAATGATTATTAATATATGCGATGATTTTGGCATAAATTATTTCATCATACCGTATTACTTATCACCGCCAGCAGTAATGTAAATAAGTTATAAAATAAGGCGAGTATACAATATAGAAATAGAGGCTAAATAAAGACTGACACCTTCCGCAATCAGAATCGTTTTTCATATTATGCATATTATTTTTCATATTTATCAATTCGAATTTCACATATCCATAAATGAGTAGCCCAATGTAGTATTTACCTAAATATTCAAAAAGAGGTACATTCACAACTTTCTGCAACTTCCCTAGTTTTTTTAATTTAAAAGAGTAAATGTTTCGTGTTTAATATTATCATAATACAAAACAATTGAAGTGAAATATATTATGAATAGTGAAGTCACAGTGCCGGAGCAATCGTCGGGGCGAGCGGGGCACGTGCCCCGGGCCCCGCGATTTTGGGGCCCCGATATTTATAGTGCTCCCACCTGAATGAAACCAAAAAAACATAAATTAAGTTAATTTTTGATCATGAGTCTTGGTAAACCCACCATATACTATTATACTAACAACAAAAAATATATTACCCGAAATACCCATGTATCACATTAAATTTAAGTTGATTTCTACGTTCTACCGAATTATTTTTGTTGTTTATAATGATTGTTTTTTTTTTTTTTTTTTTTTTTTTTTTAAAGAAGACGTAGAGTAAAGGTTATGTGGGTAGATTTATTTGGATTTATTTTGATTCTCCACAAGTTGAACCAGTTTTGTAGTTCATTGAGATGGGATTGTAGATTTTCGGATGCTATGGTTAGGTCAACATTAGTTGATATTATGCCTGTGTCATCTGCGAAGGTAGCAAGAGTGGTGTTCTCAAAGTGAGGAATGTCGGAGGTAAATATATTGTAAAGAGTAGGTGCTAGGATACTTCCCTGGGGGATGCCTGCTTTTATGTAGTGGATTTGTGAGAGTTCGTCCTCGCAGCGAACGACAAAGGATCGGTTATGAAGGAAAGATTTTATGGTTAAAAACAGGGGGGCTGGTAGAAATCATATTTTATATAGTAGGCCTTCATGCCAAACGCGGTCGAACGCCTGAGCTACGTCGAGAAAGACTCCAGTGGAGTACTGTTTGTTTTCGAGAGTTTGTGCAATTAATGATGTAATGATTGTTAAAACTAAAATGCTCGACGGTTGTATCGTCGTTATTGGCTTATCGCATTTGATGTAGCCAATAATATGTACATGTATAATATATAAAATATACTACCTAATAGTTACCTACTTTCTGATTTAGAGATTTTAAATTGCTGCAAAGATTTGGAAATAGGTTTGTCAGATAATGACAAAAAAAATTTGAATGGTTATGATTTATACGAAGAAATATTAATTTTCCACCATTTAATTGATAAAAATACTACACCACTTCTAGTACTTTCTGAAATAAAAAAACGAACGCATTTCCTTGAATATTGCCTTACAAATTATGTTAACAATTTCGCTTACATCAGCTGGAGCAGAGAGAACATTCTCAAAATTAAAACTTATAAACTTATTTACGAAGTACCATGTCACAACAAAGACTTACTGGACTTGCTACAATTGGTATAGAAAAAGAACTTTCAGAACAACTAAATTATGAAGATATAATAAATTAATAAATGATTTTTCATTTAAAAAAGCTAGACAAATTAAAGAATTATAACTGACAACATTTTACTTTAACAATTTATTATGTATTTAAAATATAAAGAAATAAAAATATATCGTTAATTGTTCAGCACACTTACTTTTTTTAAACTTCGTTTATAAATATAAGTTATTAGGTACTTATCTACTAGTATTTTAAAATTACTTATTAGTTTATTTTCTATGCAAATAATAATATGATTATACATTTATCATTGATTGTTTTGATTTTCTTTACATACCTACTTAAGTACTTAATGTAAATTATCGTTGGTTTTAAAATCGATGGACAAAATTATCTTTTGAATTAAATCTACAATTAATTTGGAATGGGGATGGAATGTATAAGATACGAATGAGGGCCCCACATTTTTTACTTGCCCCGGGCCCCGCAAAACCTAGCGCCGGCACTGTGAAGTCATGTGCATGTTCAAACTAATTATTATCCGTTATAGCCATCAACCGATATATCAAAGCAGAGACTTTTACAGAAAATTAACAATGAAAATATAATGTTCCTATACATTTTACGCGTCCTTCTCGTCCTTACTTTAAATCTTGTGATTATTTTTTGATGATAAATGGTTGTCATTTAATATACTTTGAAACAACTTTTATACAATTTATGTGATGAAAGATGAATTATGATATCCTCTGACAATGTCTACTCGCAACACTATTGTTATTTTGTATTTTCACGAAACTATTTTTAACAGATATCAATCATCTGTTCATTTATGCTTTTTTAGATGATGAAGATTAAACAAAAAAAGTAAAACAGAGACAACATTATCATTATTTTGTGTTGTACCTACTTGTTTGAAGAGGGATATTAATACTACATTAATATAGGTAGTGTATTATAGACAAAAACACGAAAAACATGTTTCAGAGTACTTATAATAAAACAAATTATGTTTAGTATAATTTTTACCTAACAATCAAAGTCTCACAAGAGTGATTAAATAATTTAAATCATGGATGATCAACGACATATGTACCTATATAAGTTTTAAATAATCCATATAGTACGCAAGTAGTAAAATGTAGGCAGTATAATGTACTTTTTATTGATTCTTTTCTAGTTGTTAAATTTGAAGTACCCTGAGAGTCAACTTGTTGAACAACTATTTTTTTTGAACAAACCTCTCATATAATATAATATAATTCGACATTGAATGAAAAAATTGTCACTAATGTAGAGCCACGCGTTTTAAATCTATATATATATATTATTATGTTCATAAATATTCGTTTTTGTGTTTACATTTTTTACTCCCCTCTAGTTATGTAGTTGAGAGTATTTTTTAAACATAGTGTATTTTTTTTTAAATCGGTTTTTCATACGTTTTACACTTTTAACATGAGTGACATATTAAATATTTTTTTATTTTTTATGCGTGTTCAACAAATACAAATTTTGCCCATAAAGATATTATACTAGGGAATTATTACTACGTAATATTATAATAATAATTAACATTAATATACCTTGATTCTTCTATACAAAATAAACAGCTATGTGATTTGATAAACATTAGTTAATATCAACTACTGGATATTTTACCAATATATTGGATTTCGTTTATATTGGCTTATGATTTATGAACATCTCCTTTAAAGTATTTAGTGTGTTATCGGTTTCATATCAGAAACCAATTTTATAAGCAACTTATCGAATATTGGAAAAAAGAATATCGGCTAATATCTATTCAGTTTATTGCTTAATAAGTTTTTGCCGTTCTTAAAAACTTTAAAGTTTAAACATTATATTTGTATTGCTTTTGAACTAAATCTATATTAAAATATATACTTGAATATTGGCAGATTAAAATGTACAGAATTTAATATTGTTTA